GGTCATAACTGGTGAATTCCAGTTGCCTGGCTTATACAATGGCAATATATCTGAGTGCATTCCTTTTGTAACCAAATCCGAGTGATTATGTCTAATGGTTTGTCTTCATGTTGAGTATCTAAGTGTGTGTCATGACTTTTATTAATGGAACCTTTAGGGAATTTTGGACAATTAAAACTAACACAGTAATTATCTTACTAGTTACTTCTTTTCAGATTCTATGATTAAGTCTATCGTAAGGGTGGCACAGTGGCTCAATGGTTAGCACTACTGCCTCACAGTGCCAGGTACCTGGGTTCAATTTCACCCTCGGTTGACCGTCTGTGTGCAGTTTGCACATTCTTCCAGTGTCTGTGTGGATTTTCTCCCGGTGCTCTGGTTTCCTCCCACAGTCCAAAGATGTGTAGGTTAGGTGGATTGGCCGTGCTAAATTACCCATAGTGTCCAGGGATATCCAGCGTGGTTTAGCCATAGGAAATGCAGGGATAGGTGAAGGGTGAGGGGCGTGGATCTAGGGGGGATGTCTTCAGAGGGGCAGTATGGACTCTATGGGCTGAATTGCCTGCTTGCCTACTGTATGGATTCTATGAGTTTGACCCGGAGACTTTGTTAGGCTGAAGTTCCAAAAAAATGTACTCAGTACCACTTCTCTGTCGATTGCAATTTTATTTATTTCCTCCCTTCCTTTAATTTCCATTTTTCTATGAAATTACTTGGATCATCTGTAATGAAGACTGACGCAAAATACCTGTTCAATTCATCCGCCATGCTCATTTTTCCACCAACGATTCCCAGACTCTCATTCTATAGGACCTTCTCACTTTGTTAACTGTTTTGTGAAGTATCTATCAAAACTCTTACTGTACTTTCATTTCCACCTGGCTTTCTCTTATACCCTTTTTTTCCTAATTTTATTTTGTCATTCTTTGGTGCTTTTTATGTTTTGTTCAATATTTTGATTGGCTATTCACGTAGGCATGAACTTGGACAGTGTGTGTGAAAGAGATTTTTAAAAATTTTTACTTCGACTGAGTTAAGAACAAGAAAACAACCTTTTTTTCTCTTTAAAACATAGACAAATCTATATCTTTAATGATCACAACAAAACATTAAACCCTCTCTGAATTGAGAAGTATATGCTTTTAAAAAAAACAGAATCTGTTGCTGGTCAAACAGGGAGGGACAAGAGGGGAGCCACTCAATCCATCCTCACCTGGTCATAACAGAGGACATTGAATGGATTTTCATATAAATGGCCCATTGTCTGGAACCACAATAGCATTAAAGATCTAATTTGTGCTGAGTCTTGATGCTATCATCAGGTCTCCTTTTACAATTAAACATGCTTTCATACTTAGTGCTTTAGCAGTTACTGTGATATGACTGGGACATGTACATCTTGGCTTCCTATGTTTACACTGCAAAATCTACTGTTGTGTTCAGGCAATATAATTATGGGTCTATTGAATATGGGCCTATGAAATTCTAAATGTGACACAATAAGGGAGACAATTTTACCAATATTAACCAACGAAGCCAATAGCTAATAAGAGCTCACTCTTATGACTAAAACCAAATTTTGAACAAAATAAAAGCATGGAACACTATTTCCTTCCTTTATGGAAATGTTATGAAGAAAATAAAACGGGTAGAGGGTTGCAATGGAATTGTGGGTCTTTGAGCACCACAGTCTATATCTGTTTTTATAACCATAGATGAATCGGGGATCAAATATAGCCTCATTTGACTGTTAACAGATTAAGTAAGACATTAATGAGGTTCAGAAACCAACAGTCAATTAGATTATGTTTGAAAGGAAAGGCAATTCATAATAGTTTAACAAAATTGCTTGGTATTTAAACAACTTATTTCCTGATATATGAGAGGATTGACATTACTGCAATTAGAACTTGATATATTTCACTATAAATGGTGATTCAGTTAGACATTATAGCAACATAATGTATTTAAAAAAGTACTTAAAAAGGCAGAACGAAAAAATGTATGGGGAAGCAAGGTATAATGCAATGGAATTAGAACACACAGCTTTATTTCAAGACTACAAGCATAGATAGAAGTCTTCTTCGGTGCTGTAAACTTCACTGATCAGACAATAAAAGACATGAAAGATTTTCAAGAGGTTTTTGAAGATGTCAGATAAATAGAATGATTTAAGGGGTGCTGTGGACTATGCGCTCATAAAATAGGGCCACCCCTAAAAGCACCAGGGAGTGGCTCCTGGGTTTCAGTCAACAATTTCCCACGTGGCAGTGGGCCCATCTTGCCATGGCAAAATGCAACCAAAGATGTAAAGTGCCCATAAGTTGCATTTAATTAGTTAAATTAGTTTCTTGCTGGGTAGCCAGTGTGCCAACATTTCTACCACAGGGAAAATGTCATGGTGATGAGAAAATGTGGGTACAGTGTCTCATATCTTCCCATCTTCCAGCCTATCCTCAAATTCTGGCCTCAGTAACTTGAAAACTCTGCACACATTCCTTCACTAAAGCATAAGCAAAACACTGTCCCACTGTATTTATCGACTTGACAATTCAACATTGCAGTTTATGGCACAAAATAATGTGGTTCTCAAACCTTAACTCTTAAGTAAACCAGATTCTGTGGACTGAATTTTCCCATTTAGAATTTGATGAGTGAGATTGGCACCCAGTCTGCCAATGACGCTGTGACTTTTCTCACAGAATTTTCCATTCTCCATCTTGTTAAGGATACAACTCAGCTCTTCAACATCCTTCTAGTCCAACTGTGTGGTGGTGAAGTGGAGGTGCTTGCCCCTGATGAGATATTCTGGCATTCATGCCGATGGTCCCAAACTTGAAATCCAGCTTCCTATCACTTCAGATGCTACAAGCCAGGAGATGCCCCTCACACTATGGTGCTCCATTGAGGAAATGGCTCAAAAAAGGAAGTTAAGTTCCCCTTTGTGGACAAAGACCTGAAGTTGTTGGTGGGCGAGAAGGTGGAGAGAACTGCAGTGTTTTAATCTGATTGACAACCACAGAAATCCACACCACCAGACACAGCCAGCCTGCACTGACATAGTGGCTCGGGTCTGTATTGTGTCAGAGGTAGATAGGAGTGCACAGCAGTTGGAACAGTGCAGGGAAAAGGTCAACGATCTTCTATGCTCCACAAGGGAATGTGTCATCATCTTCTCTCTGCTACTTCACCGTCATAGGACTGCCACTCACTACTCCTAACAGGGTCACTGCACACACATCTCACCAAGGCTTATGGATTTCAACTCTCACTATTGTCTGCATCGTGTCCAGTAAATGTCTCAGCCACTTCACTCTCCCAAACTATGAATCTTTCCTAAATAAAAACTGAAAAGAACTATAGATGCTGTAAATCAGAAACAAAAACAGAAGTTGCTGGAAAAGCTCAACAGGTCTGGCAGCATCTGTGAAGAGAAAATCAGAGTTAACATTTCATGACTCTTCCTCAGAATGGACCCCGGATCTGAAACGTTAACTCTGATTTCGCTTCGCAGACGGTGGCAGACCTGCTGAGCTGCCCTCTGTGTTTACCACTCACTCTTTGGGGCTAAAGTTGGAAGAGAGGGGCAGAGTAGGAAGTTAACTAAACAAGTTTGGCAAGATTCAATGAGAAAACTTCTAGGCCTTAGGAGAGAAACGCTCCATGAAACTGGATGACAGTATCACTACCAAAAAAAACAGTTAAGACTCAGTCCCACGTATTTTATATCAGTAATCAAGTTAGAAGAATTTTGAACAATCACATGAAGCCTTTGTACAACAGAGCTAAGTATCATTTGTCTCCTCACACATTGTATTCACACTTACCCTATTATACAGGGGGAGGAAGAACATTAGAAGAATTGAGCATGATCAAAAGTCAGAAAGTTATGTTGGGAGTGCTATTGCAGGATCATCATTGCAGCTGACTGGTTCACTTGTTAGTACAGTCAAGTCGGTTTAAAATCAATAATAACAGACACAGAATCTGGATTCTCACTCCACTATGATCCAGCACAATTCTACACTGAATGTTCATGAGATGCATGAATACTAAGCATTGTTATTAACAGGGCTCCAAAAAGAATTATGGACTTGTCTAAAAACCTTTGAGGTGAGCCTAAAGTCAGACATTGGTTCATGCGCAATGATCAATCCAGATCTCAGCCTGAGGAGCTGCTCCTAAATGCCTTTTAATCTAGCTAATACATCACAAAGTGAACATCTCAACAACATCAACAGATGTAATACCATTACACTGTAACAACCACTTGGTCAAATTCCTGTGACAGTGTGCATGGAATAAACTCTGACAGTAAAACTGTTCTGATTCTTCCGGTCTGTGAATACCAAGTATTTCCTACTTGAATCATATACTGCCCTGTTCTCTAACCGTACACTGCCGTCCATCCTCCACAACACTATCACCATCAGCAGATCAGTTAAAAAAATACAGGTTGTGCGGGCTCATGGCTTTTAATATACAATTTAGAGAATGACAGACTTGACAAGGATCTGCCAATGGAAAACTTACAATTCGGAAAAATGGTTGCTCATTAAATCGAATGCATTTGTGAATCAGGTGGTCAGATATCTATGTTCTGGTTAAAGGTTTATTCTTAGAAAGCTGATAGCTGAACCTCCAAATCAGATGTGTGATTAACAGCAAAATATTGCAGAGTCTGGAAATTTGAAATAAAAACAGACTGCTGGAAATACTCAGTTAGAACAAAAGTTCATCAATCTGAAATATCAACTCACACCAGGCCTGCTGTCTACCGCCGGCATTTTGCGTGTGATAAAAGTTGTTTACTGTCAATGTTGATAGGGGTCTTCCACCTGAATCCCATCTTGCTATGGCTTTAGATTAGCCAGAAACCCTTGTCCCCTGAGCTGATTAACAGCAGCACCAAACTAGAGGTAAATGTCAATGATGTCGATAATGTATTTGTGTTTATTTCAATTGTACCGAAAGTCAACAAATGTTCCAGGTGAACTTACTTAAACTCTGCAGTTATCAAGTTAAATCCATTGTACAGATGCCCTTCTGAAGATACTTTATTTAAGTAAGTTAAACCCTCTACCTCCTCAGTCAGGAAATCTGCCACCAGATGACCTTGAAAATATTAGAAAGAAAAACAGATTTAAATAAAGTCTCTCGATGGTTGGCACATCCTGTACTTTATCAAAAATATATAAACGCCTTTGAGCTTGGAGAAACATTTCTGCATGGAGATCAAAGTTACTTAGAATTGGTTGCTTTGGAATAAGTCTTACAAAATTATAGACTGAATTTTGTACACTTCACCTGTACTATTGAACAAAGTTTAGCATCAAAAAAGGAGAACAGTTCATTTTCAAAATATTTTCACTCATGCAATTACTTTCTCCCATTCCTACTAAGCAATGTATAAAGTCAGAAGGCAAATAGCGAGTGAGGTCAGGATTGAAATTGAGTTAGGATGCTCCCTCAGTTTCATTGCTTGATTACTGAGGAAAATTAGGTTAGTCTACTTACCTCTTGAAGGAATACAAACTCTAAGAAGTATGACTTTAACCAAGATGTGTAGGCTTGGAGAGTTGCTCAGCATTATGTAGGCCCTCTACGTCCCTGCAGTAGATGAATGCCGCTTGTACACTGATGTCTGTGGTTCCATTCATGACTTCCCTCAACCTTCCTGAGCATCACCACAGGCAACAATTCCTGAAGGTGTGTGTTTACTATCCAAGAAGCTGTCATGATGCTTAGATTCCACACAACTCTCAGGTGCCACAAGCATTTGCTCCTTGCATTATCTCCAGGGCAGGCTTATGGGTGGTCAGACATTCTCCCAGAAGACCTGACTAATCATCCCAACACATAACCCACAGATTCAGTTACAACATTTAACAGACATTTGGACAGCACCAGCAATAGTAAAGGTTCAGTAGGATATGGGCCAAATGAGACTAATTCAATTTTGGAAACTTGGTGGGCAAGGACAAGTTTGACCAAAGGGTTTGTTTCCATGCTGTATGACTCTATGACTCTAAGATGCTGGAAGTGTTACAATGTTGCTCATGCATCCACTTCAGCTATCATTGAAAAGACAATTGGTCTACTGAAGATGTGCTTCCATTGCCTGGACCACTTGTGAGGAACACTCCAGTACTCAGCAGACCATGTCTCCAGAGTAATGAATGGTTGCTGCATCTTGCATAACCTAGCTCAAGGAGAGTGACAACTTAGCAGAGGGAGAGATGGAACCTCAGGTGACGAGAAAGGGGGAGTGGGATAGAGATGCTGAGATAGCAAAACTGATGATGATGCTGCTGAAAAAGCCAGCAACGCAGTGAGATATAGCAGACAGGCTTGAGAGAATCTATCAGTGGCTAGATTAGAAACTGAAGGAGTTTTGATTAACTTATGTGGACACTCTGAGCTTGAAGTCAAATATGGCTGAGATACCTGAGGGAATGTTTGATTTCTACCATTCAAACCTTATCATCCTTTGTTTAGCATTCCATGAGATTTATTTTGTTCACTTTGCTATAATGACCTCTTGCTCAGTTTCTGGGCCAAAATATCAGGATGCAGTTAGGCTGGAATACATGGGAACTACACGACTGGATGTGGCAGGACTGCAGAGCTTAGATCTGATCCATTGGCTGTGGGATCGCTTAGCTCTGTATCACTTGCTGCTTATGCTCTTTGGCATACACGTATTCCTGTTTGGTGGTTTCACCAGGTTGACACCTCATCTTCAGGTATGCCTGGTGCTGCTCCTGGCATGCCCTCCTGCACTCTCCATTGAACCAGGGCTGATCCCCTGGCTTGATGGTAAGGGGTTGAGCGGGGGATATGCCGGGCAATAAGGTTACAGATTGTGCTGGAGTACAATTCTGCTGCTGTTGATGGCCCACAGCACCTCATGGATGCCCAGTCTTGTTGCTAGACATGTGCGAAGTCTGTCCCATTTAGCACGGTGATAGTACTAAACAACAGGATGGAGGTTATTCTCAATGTGAAAGCGGGACTTCATTTCCACAAGGACTATCCGGTGGTCGCTCTTACCGATGCTGTCATGGACAGCTGCATCTGCAGCTTGCAGATTGGTAAGGATGAGATCAAGTATGCTTTTCCCTCTTGTTGGTTCCCTGACCACCTGCCACAGACTCAGTCTAGCAGCTGCGTCCTTTAGGACCTGACCAGCTCGATCAGTGGTGCTGCTGCTGAGCCACTCTTGGTGGTGGACATTGAAATCCCCCACCCAGAGTACTTTCTGTGCCCTTGCCATCCTCAGTGCTTCCTCTAAGTGTTGTTCAACATGGCGGAGTACTGATTCAACAGCTTCGGGAGAATGGTACATGGTAATCAGCAGGAGTTCTCCTTGCATATGAGACTTAATGGGGTCCAGAGTCAATGTTGAGGACTCTCAAGGCAACTCCCTCCCAACTGTATATCACTGTGCCGCCAGCTCTGCTGGGTTTGTCCTGTTGGTGGGACAGGACATATCCAGGGATGGTGATGGTGGTGTCTGGGCATTGTCTGTAAGATATGATTCTGTGAGTATGGCTACGTCAGGCTGTTGCTTGAAGAGTCTGTGAGACAGCTCTCCTAATTGTGGCACTATCCTCAGATGTTAGTCAGCAGGACTCTGCAGGGTCAGCAGGGCTGTTTCTGCCATTGTCTCTTCCGATGCCTAGGTCATTGCCAGGTGATCCATCCGACTTCATTTCTTTGAGACTTTGCAGTGACTGGTACAACTGAATGGCTTGCTAGGCCATTTCAGAGGGAAACTGAGAGTCAACCACATTGCTGTGGGTCTGGAGTCACATGTAGGCCAGACCAGGTGAAGATGGCAGATTTCCTTCCCTGAAGGACATTGGTGAACCAGATGGGTTTTTCCAAACATCGACAATGGTTTCATGATCATCGGTATATTCCTCATTACAGATTTTTATTGAATTTAAATTCTACCATCTGCTGTGGTGGGATTCGAACCGGTGTCCCCAGAACATTAACTGAGTTTCTAGATTAATAGTCTAGCAATAATACCACTAGGCCATCGCCTTCCCTACTGCTCATTTTATCTTTTAACTGTGAACCCTGGCAGATGTCCAAGAGTCAGTAACACTATGGTGCAAGTAGTACTAGATTGGGCGCTCTAGTTAATTAAGACATATTCAGTGCATATGAGGCATCTGATGATGATGCCTGGCACCCAGTCTTCTGCAGTAGAAAACTTACAATGCAAACTTGCATTCATAGGGGCATAACGCATTGAGCAGACAGTGGCACATACTGTGAAAGTGCGCTATCATTCATCTCCTGCAGCACTGGATGCAGGATGTTGAGCCACCCATAGGCACCGACCTCAGTCAAGGCTGCCTGATTAATGGTCTCCTGTGTTATTCCATAGAAATAGTACTTTCCTTCTGTCCCAGATGGTTTGCAGGAACATACTTAGGGAGGAATTGCCGCAACATGGAGCCATTTTCTGTCTGGTGATACATCTCCCAAAGTGATGCTTCTGACTCACAGAAAGTGAAATGCTGTTCAGGTGCCTTTTACATAAGGTGCCCAGAAGTTGAAGTCTGGAAGGTTTCAGTGCCCTTCAGAGCTCCCTACACGTTAAAGTTAGTGTTCTACTTGTGCATGCAGAAATGATGATCCAAGAGGGATGCATTCACTGAGACAACTTGCTTCACATCCCTGAGAGGTAGTACCTTCTGCTTTTAAGCAGTTATAAAAGTAAGATTCTGCTCAATGTTTCCAATTGTGGGACATTCCAAAACCTGGCGCTATAAATACAAGACAGCTACCAATAGGAAGAACCTCTTTACCCAGAGAACGATGAGAATTTGGAACACACGACCACAAAAAAAAAGAGTAAATAAAGCAAACAGAATAAATGCACATAAATAGAACTTAGATTAATACAGCAGAGAGAACGGAATATAAGGTAAGGCTGAAAGGATTTAATGATATTGAGTCAGAGGACATTTATATGAAATATAAGCATTGACATGGATCAATGGTACCAAAAGGCTTGTGTGCATTTTGTCAATTCTACATAAGGGATGAATGTCCTGATCCTGTTCTTATGTTATGATCTTGACAGCTGAGTACAAAAAATGTTTTGTAGTGTTTTAAGTCTAAGCATTGCATTTTGAGATATATTTATGCAATAAGCCAAACAAATCTTTAATTCATAGCGCTCTTTGATTAAATTCAATCTTATAAAGAACCTTTTTAAATGTAAATTTAATGCAAGCTCAGGAAGACAGCTCTTAAAAATAATTTATTAGTGAAACAATTCCCTAATGCAGCTGGTTCTGCCTCATCCCACCTCATCTTTTGGCAACTGGAATGACAGCTAAGATGATGATGCTACAACTTCTGTCAGTGCTGCATAATGCACGAGAAAACAGGTCAGTCTCCAGGTGGCAGTGAAGACTAAAAATAGAAGCACTGCTTGGGTAGCAGGTGCTTATTCTGTTTGTAATTCTGAAACAAAAAGCATAATTATATGTTTTTCTCTGGCAGATTTCAGTTGGTAAAAATTGGCTTCAATACATGAAGGAAACAGCTTTAAATCTCAACATAGAATTATTTAAATCAGAAAGTAGCGTAAGTGAATCCGGTTTTTGGTTATGAGTTTGACTTGTGAAATTCAATGTTAATTGAAAAATCTAAGTTAGGTTTGAAAGCTGCCTCAGTTCATACATTTGTTAATCACAATTTCTTCAAAAAATTAGAAATAGACAATGCTATTGTAGATGTGATTAAAATAAGGTAACTGCACCTGAATGAGGCACAAATTGCTCATTCCACAGTTGTTTCTGCCCAAAATATCTGGCATGCCTAACACGCTGTACACAGCATCTTTGTCAGCTGCAGAGGTCAAAACAAGTAATGCCACTAAGGCCTTTCAGCCAAAGGGGATTGACATTGCGTAAAACCCCTCAGGCTGTAAGTTTGATGTGCAACGACGATTAATGGAAATATTAACTATTTATAAATGTAATGAATAACATACAGCACTGGAAGTAACAGATTTGATTTTGCGCTTCAAATAATGTCAACTTTGAATTGTCATGCAATATGCTTCCATAAATTTTATGATTAAAATATATTCTTGGGACAAAAACAAACAAACATTCATCATAATACTTGACTGAATATTGTCTCCAATTTTGGTCACCTTTACACAGAGCTATTGGAAATATTACAGAGGAGAACCACCAGCTTAATTCCCAGTTTGAAGCATCTCAGTTGTGAAGACAATTTAAAACATTTGGAACTTTACACTCCAGAAAATCACAGACTAAAGAATAATCTGAGCGAGTTTGTAAGATGGCCTAGGATATGATTTGGGTTCAAACAGTACTTTTTTCCCCAGTTAAGCAGGGTGTGGAGAACTCAGGTCACAACTTAAAAATAAAAAAAGAAAATGCGAGAAAGATTCAGTAAGTTAGGCAGGCAGTTTCTGTGGAGAGAGAAACAAGTGGAATCTTCCTGGATCTGAAGAGGTAGATTTAGAGGCAGGATTAGCAGCAAAATTTAAAATTTGGATTTTGGATTAGCACCTGATCATTCCTGCGTGCAAGCACTCTTGCTGCAGGAGGGAGCAAGTTGCTGATGTCACAAAGATCTTCCCGATATTGGGACTGGTGCCCACAGACTGCAGAGGTTGGCAGTAGCTTTGGAAGCACCTTCCTGGCTGGATCAGGGTGACCAACTCTCTGTTAATAAAAAACATGGGCCACTTTGACATCTCCATAACAGTGAGGGCAGGTTGCTGTCCACACTGTAGGAGCAGGTCACAGCAAGAGAATGCAATTAAAGATAATTGCTTGGGGAAAGTTTGAATATCTGCTCAACAACATCAAACAAAGGCTATTCCTGAACCAGAGACATGCACTCCAATTCTGTGATTGCCTGATAAAATCTCTAAAGGCTGGCCACCCTCGGTGGAAAAGCTGCTTGGTCCCCTGCATCTGCACCCCTGAATATGCCACAGGATTAGCCATAAATCTTCCTGTGATGGGAGGTGTTTCCACTCTCATTAATGATCCTATGGGCTTTTTGTTTTTCACAAATCTTAGTGAGGATTCCAAGGATTTCCATTTTGAGGCAGTCTTATGCTCACTGACCTGCCTCAATTCGGTCCTCCTCAGATGGTGAGACTACTGGTGAGATGCCAGTATTGTGGGCATTCATAGTGGGGCTCCCATTTCCACAAATCATGTTATTCTTACCCACACAGCAAATGAAGAAGTGGCTTGTTAATAGATTGCCTCCTGGAAGGTTCCAACTGTTGGAACCCTCTGATCCATGAGTTCAAAGTCCACTGTTCAGGTCATGACCTACCTGCTGGTCCATAGATGCTGCTAGATCTTCTTAGCATTTCCAATTTTTTCTATTTTTATTTCAGATTTCCAACATCTGCAGCATTTTGCTTTTGTGTTAAGCATGGAAAGCCACATCATGCTTAGATATCTGGAAGTGAATCTTTTCCCAGAGAATAGAGGATCTCTGGAATAGGCTGTCAATTTGAGCAATGATTGCCAATTCCCTGAATTCCGGAAGTGAGAATTAGATCTGCTTCTAGCAGAGGTGAAGATTACCTCATAAAAGAAGTTCCAGTGGAAAATTCTGGGCCAGAGTGATTTCTTGACTTGTTTTGACTGAATAAGGGGTTAAAGAATTGAAGATAACAAGGTGTAGAGCTGGATGAACACAGCAGGCCAAGCAGCATCATAGGAGCAGGAAGGCTGACGTTTCAGGCCTAGACCCTTCATCAGAAATGGGG